TTCAGCAGGTCTTCTTTATTTTTTCACAATTATCACTGCATTTGCATGATTGGTCATGGTTATTTATTATTCTTGAAGTAGTCAGTGAATATGTCTACCTTTTCTTTGCTTAATCTTTTTAGGAGACTATCATCATTGTTCCCATCATGTTATGTGCTCTTTTGTGCATATGTGTCCAGCATCTTTAGAAAGTATTTTCAATAGTAGAGTGGTTGTTCAAGTGAGAGGAGTTAGATTATTTACTGTAGATGATGGTAACGTTTTTATTATGCTTAGTTTCCCCTCTTGGAGGCGGGCCTAACGACTCAAATGACTTGCAATTGTTGTTTTATGCTTTAAAATGTGTCATGATAATTGACTTGTTTCTTTCTCTCCTTTTTTTTTTTTGGGTTTTGGTAATCCTTTACAGTCTCATAAACATAGTTCTAGCATTCAGTTTACAGAAGAATTTGATTTTGAGGCGATGAATGAGAAGTTCAAGAAAGATGAAGTGTGGGGTTTTCTCGGTAAGAATAAGCTTGGGGATCAAACATATGACCGAGAGGATACAGCAGTTAAGCCGAGCTCAGAAGGGAAAGCAAAGGTGTGTATGTACGTATGATTGTAGGCCTTATGTTTTCTAACTTACAAATTTGGCGGGCATTGGAAGAATTTGATTTTGAGGCGATGAACGAGAAGTTTCCTTGGCGTTTGGGGCCAAAAAAAGTTTCTGACTATATTATTTAGTTAATATGAATTCAGAGGCTCTTAAGGGGCTAACATTTGGTATGCTTTTGTTGCAGCCTGCATATAATAAGGATGATTTCTTTGACACGATCTCACGCAATACAATTAATCGTGGTGCAAGAAGTGGACACTCTCACTATTCTGGCCGGATGAGGCATGATAACGAGGTTTGTTCCTTGTCACCAACCAAAACTCTGAAACCTTGTTATCCAAACCGAACAGGAGTGAATGTCGCCCTCGTCAGGGTTTGTTTATCAATCTCTGTTTTCTTCATCTTTCAGACATTTGGAAATGTTCAAGGCAGGCCTCAGCTACAACCAGGCGATGGAGGATATCTTACTGAGCATGCCAATTACAGAGGTGGACATAACTCGGGTGTGGGTTACGGCTACTATGGTGGAAGGGGCCATGTTAGAAACACACATTTCTGAGTTTCTGTGTTCCTCAAGAGGTTGTTGGTTGGTGGCATGCCCCCCTTGCGTCTTTCATCTCAAGCTGGTTGAACCTTTACTTTTCTCATGAATCGAGAATTCGGGTAAACGCTTTTTAGGGTTACTGCATGTCAAGATTTTCAAACTGATCTTTTGGCATATCATGGCAAGTTCATGTTCTTTTTTTTTTTGTCTGATGAGCTAGCCACTTTCCCTTCAAACATTGGAGAAAGTTATTGCCCCTGTAGAGAAACTAGTTTTGCTCTATATATATACACGACATTTGTATGCGGATGTCTGGTCTAATCTAATCGGTGTTTCTGCATAAATATTGGAACTTGGACCAATCCAGGGGTAGGTTAATTTTATTTTATTTGCTTTCATTAAGCTTAGGTGGATGGTATTATGCAATTTCACTGGATGGAGGATAGTTTATGTCCTAGTGCTGAGGAACTTTGGTCATGAATCTGTCTCTGTGCGCACTTTGGTGTAAACTGATTTGCCGTCTCAGAGATTGTAGTCGGGATTTTATGGACCGTTGATCTGCGGACTAACAGGAAGCCATAATATGGGTATGACTGTTTGTGACTTCTTCTCGGGTGATACTACTTGGTCTCTTGGTTCTTGGGGGTCTGCCTGATGCTGTAAAGGATGGTGCTCAGAAGTCAGAAGCAGCCTCTACCACAAAAGCTCAAACTGCCATGGGTAAACATTCCACGAGCTCTGATTTTGACCTTTTCTTATCACCGAGGGACAAGAAACTAGAAAGGAAGTTCTTCTGGGTTCATCGGTAATAGCAAAAGAGACTTGGTGATTGACCATTTGGGGTATGTATAGGATAGGTGCTTGGGGGGTTGTTATTCTAAGGAGTGTGTGGAAGAAGCATAATATATTCAGAGAGATTATTATATTACCAGGACAAGCTGTAGTATTGCCCCCGTGGTTTGGGTAAATGGGAGAGAAGGGACCCTGTCCCAAGGCCGAAAGCACAGTTAGAAGACCAACTTTGAGAACCCATCAACGTGGAACCAAAAAGGGAAAAGGCTTTGTATTGTTTTTGTATGTCTATATATATATATATATGTGTGTGTATTCTCAGGAGTTTTCCAAATTTGAAGTTTCCCTGAGGGTTTTTTTCTACTGCAAAACGCGCTTATAATGTATGGATCATTACATTACGGAATGATCACGAAAAAAAGGGGGGGGGGTCCAAATGTGGAATATTGCAACGATTAATTTTGGAAGTGTGTGAAAAATAAGCAGGTATATCATATCAGTGATATGAAAATTACTATTTTATCTCCATAGTTGTAATAAAATTACCTCTCCTCGACGTCTCTACAGCTTTCGATATTTTGTAAAAAAAAGCTTTCGATATTTTCTTTTTCTCATGTCTTCAAATCCAAAATCTTGCGTTGGATCGGACGATTCAGATGCTTCGAGGCCCCGTTTGGGGTCTTCCTTCCGTTGGCGCCGTCATTTGCTTAAGATTTTCGCCATTGTCTTCGCGACTCTGCTGATTGACATCATAGCTGAAAACCCTAACTGCATTTCCCAACTTCGATTCCCTCGGTGGTCAGCAGAATCACTCTGCTCGTATGGTGGAGTCCGATGGCCTTTCTGGTTCGGTTTTGGATCCAAAGCCGATGCCTTTCGCTTGTGGGTACTGAAGAACAATGCCTGGTCGCTACATTTAAGGTTCTTCACGATGTTCTCCTGCAGCTGTCTTAACTGTGGGTGAATGTGTAATGCTATGATCGGGTCTTTTCTACCATAATGTGAACACTCGATTGCTTGACCCTGTAACATGACTCTTCTGTGTTTGGTTTGAATTTGGAAAGCTTGTCAAGATGGAAAGTTCTTGGTTGAAATGCCAAATGTGAATGTGCCTGAAAGATAATGAGTCTGAGGTGTCTTGGAAATTTTGGGACCGTGTGGATGAAAAACTGGTTTCAGCTTCAAGAGAAAATGCATTGTTGCCTTTTCAGCTTAGTAACTTTTCATCAAACCCGGATCTCAGAAACATGGAGGAGTCTTCCAATGGCCACTTAAGGGAAATCAAGGGCTTCTTAGGTCGGTATTCAACCCTTTCACTTTCTTGCTCGAAGCTTATTAATGTGCTTTTGGTTCCTGTTTCGTTTTTACACAACAACAGTCTGTGTTTTTTTTTGGACACTGACAGCTGCAAATCCATTCCATTACAAATCATTTTTAGGGTCCTTCACTCTGTTTCAGATACTTGATTGATGTTCCTGATGATGATATCCGCTATTCAAGGGAAGGAAGGGAGCATATCTAACTCAAAAGGATCATACGCAAGGATCAAGAATCTTATAGAACTGCCCTTTTTTCTCTCTTTGCTTGTGTGTTCATCCCTTAATCTGGTCTCCCCTTCCAATAATTCTTAATAGTGTAAAAGCATTACCTCATACTCAGTTCGGTCATTTATATTCTTCTGGAACTTTCAGGTTCCACCATCTGCTATCACTGCTCATGCTTCTCCGAGACCAAGTAAGTGCTAATTCAAGAAATTTGCTCTTGATAATTATTGTATTATACCACAAGATCTTACACAATCTAAGCTAATTCACACTTGCAAGTTAGGTATTTTTGCTCCTTTTTTTTCCAAAAAGTATACATATATTATATATAGAGTCAGGAAGATTCCTTAAAGCATAAGAATTATACAACCATATGTATAATGTTTTCCCCTAAACCCAATTTGCCTTTACTCCAAGGGAAAGAAGATACCAAAACTTTCCCCACCAGTTAGGGTTTAGAACCATATCTTGTCCTCTCATTATCCCTTTCCCCTTCCCTCAAACCCCAAAAAACCCCTTAAAGATATCAACCATCAAAAAACACAGAAAAAAAGCCCTAAACCGGTCCCAAACCGGATGTTGTCTGGCCTCGTTCTAGCCGCACCAGAGCCGCATAATGCCCAAGTTGGCTTCCCGCCAAGGCACCAGCATTTTTGTATGGTGTGCAGCCATCATCTGCGCTTTGATCTCTGTCGCTGTCATCTTCGGCGGCATTGCTGTCTTTGTTGGATACCTTGTCATTCACCCTCGCATTCCCATCATTAGTGTAGTTAATGCCCACCTCGACCTTCTAAGGTATCCATTGAAATCTTTCATGGTTTCATCAATACACAACCCATAAAGTTTCGTTTTTTCAGTTTTTTGTGGGTCATCTGGGTATTCAGAGACCTTCATCGAGATCATGACTCACCATTCTTCTTTCTTCCAGATACGACATATCCAGAGTAATGGAGACGCAGATAACTATCATAGTGAGAGCGGAGAACGACAATGAGAAAGCGCATGCTACGTTCGAGGACACTGAGTTTCACCTGAGCTTCGGGGGAAAATACATAGCAATTCTAAAGGCGGCGCCTTTCAAAGTGGGCAAGAACAGCTCTCTGGATTTCTCCTACGTGGTTCAGTCATACCCTGTGCCGTTGGGTCCGACAGAGATGCAAATGATAGACTATGCTTTGAAACAAGACGTCATCACGTTCGATCTCAAAGGTGACTCACGGACTCGTTGGCGGGTCGGACCTTTCGGCTCTGTCAGGTTCTGGTGTGATCTTAATTGCGAGCTTAACTTCAGACCTTCCGATCATAGTTACCTTCGTTCTCCTTGTAGCTCTTCGCATAAGCACTAGGGTTATGTGTCTTTTTTTTTCCTTCTCTCTTTTATTTCTTTTCAGTTCATTATTCTTACACGACAATAATAATGATAATAATCTTGAAGTTATTCCCTTTTTTTTATCTCGAGTGGGGAAATGCCCTGTTTCTTAATTAACAGATGATGAGATTATATTATTTTGTTGAAGAAATTTGGTTTCGGGTAAATAATATGATATGTTTCTTTTTACGTTATAGTACATTTGTCTACAAGGTAATAAACGTCCGGTCCGGTTCAATGGTTCATGGACCACACGCGCCTTGATAAGCGGTTTCATCAACCGAACCCTGAGAGCCATCACTCTGCGCTCTGTAGTTCACCGGCCTCCGTCTCGCCGGAGATTGCTTGACCGGCGACCTGTGAAGCTTAGTCGATGGTCTGAAAAGGGCCATGATATGGGCTTTGGATCATATGATAGTGCAGAGACCCCTCGAAACACTCGTCATCTTGTCAGTGAATCGAAAAAGTTGTGGGGGGGGGGGGGG